GGTAAAAGTCCATGGTGTAAATGTGGGAACCAGGTCATTTTCTGTATATCCGGTTCATTCCAGACATAATATAGACTGTAGAAAATGTATGCACCATTAGAATCTCATCTGCGTGTACTACTATATAAAACCCACAGGAGTATATCTGATTTGAAAATACATGGCAGAATTGAAACATGGACTTCAAAATATCATGCCCTAAAAGGGGTTAGCTAAAGCACCGCCATTAGTTTTCAGTCTTTAAACTAGATTTTTTTCTGAATTTATGTTTAAAGGAGTTTTGAGCATTCACAGCCAAACCACAGTCAGTTAACATGTTGCCTCCATCAGAGTGGTTGCCATTTAGCTTTGGTTACTTCTTGCTCCTCCAGGGGCTGGTATATATCAATTGAAATCCAGTGTGCTGGTGATGTGGCAAATTAATCATGTATACATATGATCTCTTAGTCATAAATTCTTAGAAAGTTTCATTGAAGAAAATGCAGCCACACAGTTACAGTTAGACAGGAGTTTACAATCATAGCTCTTTTATTGTCATATGGTTTTGCAGTGGAAAAGAGCTGAATAACAGGTCAGCCAGCACTGGGCTTGTCTAGCAGTGCTCAGAGAAGACAAAAAAGCTGCTTAACACAGAAAAGGCCACTCCCCCAAGGCATCACATACAGCCAAGGAGTTCTGCTCTCATCACCACCAGCAAAGAAGACTTAAAATCAGCAGTTTTTCCCAGATAACTCAATTTCCTTAAGGGGTTTCTATTTGTTTGTTTTGGACTTCTGCTGTGATCTTGAGTACAATTACTAGTATATAAACACAATTAAAGTTGAATGGAAATACTTCCAAATATGTATTTCCTTTTTAATAAAAAAAACTGGCATAGAATGAGTATTTAAATTACACTTTTTATGCAAAACATGTTGCATTACATAGATTCAATTTTGGCATGTGGTCAATACAATTTTCTGAGTTTTAAAACTCATAAATCATTCTTAAGAACTCAGAATTTGATTCTTTATTACTATTTATTATTAGCTTACTATTCTTCTATTCCACCTTTCTGCCTGATAGCAGGCCCCAATGAGACTGAAGGTAAGGGAGAATGAATGATTTAATGCTCTTTAAAAGTCCTGTTGATTTACAGATGTTTTAGGTCTTAGAAATTGTTGAAATGCAGAAAAATAACATATCATACCCTAATCTACATGTTTAGTTTAGCTTTTTTTGTCATATAAAGTCTAAAACCTATTTTAAAAATATGTATGGAAATTCTCAGTCATCCAGATCATGGTTGTCCCAAAGGTGCTTTTTCAAGAGGCAACAGGACTTTCTGGTTTTTCTTCAAAGATGTTTCGCTTTGCATCAAAAAACCTCTTCAGCTCTGACTGGATGGTGAGGAATGGAAGGATTTATACTTCTTCCAGACAGCTGGTCATTTGCATTCTTTTAGAGAGCTGTTGAGGCCACCTGGAAGTTCATCTGTGTCATCAGTGTTACCTGAGTAATGTAAATGGGTGTGGAGCCTTCTTGGAACTGTTGAAAGGACTGTCTTGTAGACAGGAGATAGATGACGTTGTATCACTACCCCTCTGTTGAGAGAAGGCTGTTTAGTTTTAACATAGATGGCCTCTTTAAACCCTCTTTCAAACCAGTGGTCCTCTTTGTCCAGAATGTGGACTTTGCTATCTTCAAAAGAGTGGCCTTTCTCTTTTAAATGCAGTTGGACTGCCGAATCTAGTCCTGGTGGCTTTGTTCTCCTACATTGAGCCATGCATTTATGAGGTGGTTGTTTTGTTTCCCAATGTTCTGATCTGCACATGGCTCAATACATTGTACTGCATATACCATGTTGCTCAGTTTGTGTCTGGGTGTTTTATCCTTGAGGTGGACAAGCTTCTGCCTTAGTGTATTTAAAGTGGGTAAGTATGTTGTGTTGGCTGAAGATCCTCCTGAGCTTTTCTGATATTCCTGCAACATATGGAATGACAACTTGGTTATTTTATTGTTCTCTGTGTTGTCTGTTATTGAGGAGCTCCTGTAGGGTCTTTTTTGAGATTTGATGGACCCACTTGGCATAGTCACTATTTTAAAAGACCATATTATTTTAACTTTTGCAGAAAATATTTCCAGACAGTAAATTTCTATGCATATGTAGAATATGGGAACTTTGTCCTGGGTTTGAAGGGCTTTATAGCTGTTTCAAACTTCAAGGGCAATTATTGTTAAGGGAAAAGAAACAACCTCATCTTTAGCTACTTTTTTTTTCTTCTGTTTTACTCCTCTTCATAGGAACAGCTGCTGTCCTACCTTACAACATAATAATTATCTTTGATTACTACATCATGTTTGTTTGCATCTATCATGAGATAAATCTATCCCTGCTAACTTGTGACCAACCTTTGTTGCTCACAATTGAAGCTGATAATATGGGAAACTACTTCTCTGAGAGCTGACTCATGATGGAACAAATCATTGCTAATCCCTTAGTTGCCCTGAAACAGAAACAATAACATGAGGAAACTTTTAATCATTGTTATAAAGCTTTACTTCATCTATGAGTTAAAATTCATAAAGATCTTAGTCACAGAAAAGGACATTGCTGGGGACCATTTTCAGTACATGCCTAGCTAAAAGATTTAATTGCAGTAAGGACTATAGAGTAAAAGCAGACTTTAAAAATAGAGTTATTTCTCAGAATGCTTTCTGAGACTTTAAAGCCAATAAAATGATTGCTCCAGGTGCAAGTTATGCTTAGGAGAAACAATAAGAAGAAATGGATGTAATTCTAAGAAATAGAAATAATTCTAACAAATCTATTCTCTTTTGGTCCAATAATAAAATGCTATTATCAAAAATGATAGCACAAAATCTTGATTCAAGATAAGATAACTCTCATATCCCAAATATACTTTTTGCAAGATGCTATTGGACTTTCTAGTTTTTCTGGTTTAAAAAATAACCAGAAAGTCTAGTTATTTTATTTATTTATTTATTTATTTATTTATTTATTTATTTATTTATTTATTTATTTATTTATTTATTTATTTATTTATTTATTTATTTA